CGTTCAATGTTTTTTATTATTGTTGCTGTTATTGATGAAGTGTTGATGGCAACCTCCTGAACTAGGCAGGCTCTTTTATTAATACTTATATTTAATCTACACACTCCTATAAAGTAAATACCACTTCCTCTATTTTCAGGGCACGGACAGGTGCTCAGAAAGGTTCAATAACTTGTCCAAGGTCACACAGCCAGGAAACAGGTGCCCCAATTCTAATTGTTTGCATTCATCGCCCTAGCTCTGCTTCTTTGCAACAGCTCCTAGATTGGTGATTCTCAAACTTAACTGTGTTTTTAAATCACCTGGAAAGCTTTCAAAAATTCTGAAGCCAGCCTGACATGGTGGCTCATGCATGTAACCCCAGCATATTGGGAGGCCAAGGAGAGAGGATCACTTGAGTCCAGGAGTTCAAGATCAGCCTGGGCAACATAGCAAGACTCTGTCCCTAATTTAAAAAAAAAAAATCAAAAAATTAGCTGGGCACACATCTGTAGTCTCAGTTACTCAGGAGACTGAGGCAGGAGAGTCACTTGAGCCTAGGAACTTAAGGTTACAGTGAGCTATGATTGTGCCACTGCACTCCAGCCTGGACAACACAGCAAGATCCTATCCAAAAAAAAAGAAAGAAAGAGAAGAAATCTGATGCCCAAGCCACACGCCATACTAAGCATTTCAGCATCCCTGGGAGTGGGACCCAGGCATCAGTATATTTGAATGCTCCCCAATGTATGGCTAAGGCTGAATCTCTGTCCTTGGTGTCAGGTTCCCCTGGACCACATTGGCAACCCCTCCCTGCAACCTTCTCACTCCTCTGCTTCAGTCACTCACTATGCTTGGACGATTCTGCATCCTTCTTGAACCTAGAGCTGCCTCTGAACTCGTACCTCTTACAGTCATTCACTCCACAAATACTTACTGTGCACTTGGCTGTGCTAGAGGCTGGAGATTCAGCAGCGAAGACAACAGGGCCCTTGGTCTGTCACACAAAATAGTAAGTAAATAAAATAGCAATAGTTCCCTGGCAATTGGGTCTTGCAAATTCTTTACACCCGTAACAGTCAGGGACAATGCCAAAGAAACCACAACTCAAGCCTAAGCATGAGAAAAGCATCAGACACATTTCAATAGAGAGGCATCCTGTAATCTACCTGC